AGAGACAGCGAAACTATTATTATAGACGAGAAAAATGGCCCGTTGAGGAAGGATACACCGGGCGCTAGGTTGATAGTGCTGTCTCTTTTCTCTAAACTAAAACCAACCCACCCCCCCACACACACACACACCACCCCCCCACCCCCACCACCCCACCCCAACCCCCCCCCCCACCCCCACCCCACCCCACCCCACCCCCCAAAAAAACATGTCTACCGTCCCATTCAACGAAATATAATTATATACTTTTTCCAGTGTCCGCCCCCTCCCCGAAAATTTTACCCCCGCCCCCGAAAATTTCAAGTACCCCCCACCGCTCTCCGGGGAGGAAAAAGTCTGAAAGAAACACTGGTGTCGCGCTTAGCCACTACCCGAAGAATTGCATTAAAGAAATTGCAAGAAAACCACTTTTTAGATTAGACACATTAATTAGGCGGTAATTTTATTATAGAGTATCGATGAAGAAATTTCTTTTGAGTTGGGGAGGGGTGGGGGGGGGGGGGGCTCAGACGTTCTTACGCGGGGGTGGGGCTTCGCAGCTAAACGAAGAATTGTATGAAAGATACTCTTCACGCAAACCATTAAGATTAGACAACATTTCCTTTTTATTCAATGTTTACGCGATAATCAATGACGTCATATAACTGTGAGCACTCTCTGGGTTTGAGATTATTTTCTACTCTGTGCTAAATGTGTCGACGTCATACTTCGTTTTTCGAAATACTATGCATGTTTTTAAATTCCTTGTGTTTTCTCTAGAGCGTTCTTGTCAGACAGATAGATACATAGAGAGACAGCGAAACTATTATTATAGACGAGAAAAATGGCCCGTTGAGGAAGGGTACAACGGGCGCTAGGCTGATAGTGCTGTCTCTTTTCTCTAAACTAAAACCAACCGGGGAGGAAAAAGTCTGAAAGAAACACTGAAACCAACCCACCCCCCACACACCACCCCCCCACCCCCACCCCCCCACCCCCACACACCACCCCCCACCCCCACACACACACCACCCCCCACCCCTCCTACCCCCCCCACCCCAAAAAAAACATGTCTACCGTCCCATTCAACGAAATATAATTATATACTTTTTTCAGTGTCCGCCCCCTCCCAGAAAATTCTACCCCGCCCCCGAAAATTGCAAGTACCCCCACCCCTCTCCAGGGAGGAAAAAGTCTGAAAGAAACACTGGTGTCGCGCTTAGCCACTACGCGAAGAATTGCATTAAAGAAATTGCGAGAAAACCACTTTTTAGATTAGACACAGCAATTAGGCGGTAATTTTATAATAGAGTATCGATGAGGAAACCACCCCACCCCACCCCCCCCCCCCCCACACACACCCCCCCCCCACCCCCTACCCCCCACCCCCCACTCCCGAAAAAAATCATGTCTACCGTCCCATTCAACAAAATATAATTATATACTTTTTCCAGTGTCCGCCCCCCTTCCCGAAAATTCTACCCCCGCCCCCGAAAATTTCAATTACCCCCACCCCTCTCCGGGGAGGCAAAAGTCTGAAAGAAACACTGGTGTCGCGCTTAGCCACTACCCGAAGAATTGCATTAAAGAAATTGCAAGAAAACCACTTTTTAGATTAGACACATTAATTAGGCGGTAATTTTATTATAGAGTATCGATGAAGAAATTTCTTTTGAGTTGGGGAGGGGGGGGCTCAGACGTTCTTACGCGTGGGGTGGGGCTTCGCCCCTACCCGAAGAATTGTATGCAAGAAACTCTTCACGCAAACCATTTAGATTAGACAACATTTCCTTTTTATTCAATGTTTACGCGATAATCAATGACGTCATATAACTGTGAGCACTCTCTGGGTTTGAGATTATTTTCAACTCTACGCTAAATGTGTCGACGTCATACTTCGTTTTTCGAATTACTATGCAGGTTTTTAATTTCCTTGTGTTTTCTCTAGAGCGTTCTTGTCAGACAGATAGATAGATAGATAGATAGATACATAGAGAGACAGCGAAACTATTATATAGAACGAGAAAAATGGCCCGTTGAGGAAGGATACACCGGGCGCTAGGCTGATAGTGCTGTCTCTTTTCTCTAAACTAAAACCACCCCAGCCGCCCCCCCCCCCACACACACCCCCACCCCCCCACACCCCCACCCACCCCACACCCCCCACACCACCCCCACACCCCCACCCCCCCCCCACACCCCCCACCCCCCAAAAAACATGTATACCGTCCCATTCAACGAAATATAATTATATACTTTTTCCAGTGTCCGCCCCCTCCCAGAAAATTCTACCCCGCCCCCGAAAATTGCAAGTACCCCCACCCCTCTCCAGGGAGGAAAAAGTCTGAAAGAAACACTGGTGTCGCGCTTAGCCACTACGCGAAGAATTGCATTAAAGAAATTGCGAGAAAACCACTTTTTAGATTAGACACAGCAATTAGGCGGTAATTTTATAATAGAGTATCGATGAGGAAACCACCCCACCCCACCCCCCCCCCCACACACACCCCCCCCCCACCCCCTACCCCCCACCCCCCACTCCCGAAAAAAATCATGTCTACCGTCCCATTCAACAAAATATAATTATATACTTTTTCCAGTGTCCGCCCCCCTTCCCGAAAATTCTACCCCCGCCCCCGAAAATTTCAATTACCCCCACCCCTCTCCGGGGAGGCAAAAGTCTGAAAGAAACACTGGTGTCGCGCTTAGCCACTACCCGAAGAATTGCATTAAAGAAATTGCAAGAAAACCACTTTTTAGATTAGACACATTAATTAGGCGGTAATTTTATTATAGAGTATCGATGAAGAAATTTCTTTTGAGTTGGGGAGGGGGGGGCTCAGACGTTCTTACGCGTGGGGTGGGGCTTCGCCCCTACCCGAAGAATTGTATGCAAGAAACTCTTCACGCAAACCATTTAGATTAGACAACATTTCCTTTTTATTCAATGTTTACGCGATAATCAATGACGTCATATAACTGTGAGCACTCTCTGGGTTTGAGATTATTTTCAACTCTACGCTAAATGTGTCGACGTCATACTTCGTTTTTCGAATTACTATGCAGGTTTTTAATTTCCTTGTGTTTTCTCTAGAGCGTTCTTGTCAGACAGATAGATAGATAGATAGATAGATACATAGAGAGACAGCGAAACTATTATATAGAACGAGAAAAATGGCCCGTTGAGGAAGGATACACCGGGCGCTAGGCTGATAGTGCTGTCTCTTTTCTCTAAACTAAAACCACCCCAGCCGCCCCCCCCCCCACACACACCCCCACCCCCCCCACACCCCCACCCACCCCACACCCCCCACACCACCCCCACACCCCCACCCCCCCCCACACCCCCCACCCCCCAAAAAACATGTATACCGTCCCATTCAACGAAATATAATTATATACTTTTTCCAGTGTCCGCCCCCTCCCCGAAAATTCTACCCCCACCCCCGAAAATTTCAAGTACCCCCACCACTCTCCGGGGAGGAAAAAGTCTAAATTAAAACCACCCCTCCCCCACTCACCCCCCTACCCCCCCCCCCCCCACCCCCCCCCCCCCCTCTAAAAAAACATGTCTACCGTCCCATTCAACGAAATATAATTATATACTTTTTCCAGTGTCCGCCCCCTCCCCGAAAATTCTACCCCCGCCCCCGAAAATTTCAAGTACCCCCCACCCCTCTCCGGGGAGGAAAAAGTCTGAAAGAAACACTGGTGTCGCGCTTAGCCACTTCGCGAAGAATTGCATTAAAGAAATTGCGAGAAAACCACTTTTTAGATTAGACACATTAATTAGGCGGTAATTTTATTATAGAGTATCGATGAGGAAATTTCTTTTGAGTTGGGGAGGGGGGGGGGGGCTCAGACGTTCTTACGCGGGGGGTGGGGCTTCGCCCCTACTCGAAGAATTCTATGCAAGAAACTCTTCACGCAAACCATTTAGATTAGACAACATTTCCTTTTTTTCAATGTTTCAATGACGTCATTACATTACTGTGTGCACTCTCTGGTTTGAGATTATGTTCTACTCTACGCTAAATGTGTCGACGTCATATTTCGTTTTTCGAATTACTGTGCAGGTTTTTAAATTCCTTGTGTTTTCTCTAGAGCGTTCTTGTCAGACAGATAGATAGATAGATAGATAGACAGATAGAGAGACAGCGAAACTATTATTATAGATTAAGATGCATTTATAAAGCAAATCATTGCAAATTCCCGTTCTGCCCAATACATGGGGCAGATGAAGTAGAGTTTATCTGTATCAGAGACCTCGGCATAGAAAGGGATAGTGTGGTCAGCACTATGCCCAGCTGGCTATACTTTCCCTATCATGAATTAGGTACCCATCAGAGCTGGGTGAACTGGGACTTTCTACTGACTTGAACCCGGATTCGAAACTAGGCCACGCGATTTTGTATTTTATCTTACTATCTCGTTTCTAAGACTGAAATAAATATCAATATTACAAAATTGAACCGCTTTAGAATTAGTCTTCTGTTTGAGAAATAAATTATTTTCATATGCTTTGTTACTTTACATTTAAATAGATTATTATTTTGTTAAATAGCAAAATTAGCTTTCTCTTAACCCAACCAATCTATGCCAGGTACTCATCCCAGCTGAGTCGGCCCTGAGACGTCATAGATTCTGTAACACCAAGAACCGAACTCAACCCTTTCAGGTACACACTAATACGCCCTACTACTCAACGACTCCATGAGACGGAGTGGTCTAGCGGTAGAGAGCTAGACTGCTAACCCGTTAGTCTCGTGTTCGAATCGGGGTTCAAGTCAGTAGACCGTCCCTGAGTCCACCCAACTCTAATGGGTACCTAACTCACGATATGGAAAGTAAAGGCGGCTGGGCATAGTGCTGACCACACTATCTCTTCATATGCCGAGGTCACAGAAATAAGTAAACTCTACTTCACTTGCCCCATAGACGGCCAGGCTTGAAAAGGAACTTCTACTCAACCAATCCACTAATAATAAACTCAAAAGGCGCTAATTACATCTTACACTTACCGAACTGCACGCAAAACTGCCATGTTTGAAACTATGTCCCACAACTCACTCTGTCACAACGAACAAATCCCATTGACCCCTCGAAGGTGAGTACACCTACACGTGAGGTGTGCGCATCATAACAAGATCATTTCATAGTAAACAACTCCAACCGTAATTTAGACCATCTGTCATTTCCCATATAACGTGCTGATGGCTCTGCTAATAAAACACGTTAAGGACGGCAAACACACATGCTGGGGACCAACAGTAATCCTTCGATCGACGTGTGGGTTTATTCAAGGTTTGGTTTACTTATAATATAAGGTAATCCCAATGCGCGGGGTGGGGGGGGGGGGGGAGTTGAGTATTCTGCTTGGCTCGTGTTACACGTGTGTGTGGTCTTTATAAGTGGATGTCACGTGTGGTATTAATGTGTGATGTCACGTGTGGTATATATATGTTGATGTCACGTGTGGTATATATATGTTGATGTCACGTGTGGTATTGATATGTGGATGTCACGTGTGGTATTGATACTTAAATGGTACGTGTTGTATTGGTATGTGGATGTCACGTGTGGTATTGATATGTGGATGTCACGTGTAGTATTGATACTTAAATGTTACGTGTGGTATTGGTATGTGGATGTCACGTGTTATATTGGTATGTGGATGTCACGTGTGGTATTGATATGTGGATGTCACGTGTAGTATTGATACTTAAATGTTACGTGTGGTATTGGTATGTGGATGTCACGTGTGGTATTGATATGAGGATGTCACGTGTGGTATTGATATGTTGATGTCGAGTGTGGTATTGATACTTAAATGTCACATGTGGTATTTATATGTGGATGTCACGTGTGGTATATATATGTTGATGTCACGTGTGATATGGATATGTGGATGTCACGTGTGGTATGGATATGTGGATGTCACGTGTGGTATTGATACTTAAATGTCACATGTGGTATTGATATGTGGATGTCACGTGTGCTATTGATATGTGGATGTCACGTGTGGTATGGATATGTGGATGTCACGTGTGCTATTGATATGTGGATGTCACGTGTGGTATGGATATGTGGATGACACGTGTGGTATGGATATGTGGATGTCACGTGTGGTATGGATATGTGGATGTCACGTGTGGTATTGATACTTAAATGTCACATGTGGTATTGATATGTGGATGTCACGTGTGCTATTGATATGTGGATGTCACGTGTGGTATGGATATGTGGATGTCACGTGTGCTATTGATATGTGGATGTCACGTGTGGTATGGATATGTGGATGTCACGTGTGCTATTGATATGTGGATGTCACGTGTGGTATGGATATGTGGATGACACGTGTGGTATGGATATGTGGATGACACGTGTGGTACTGATGTGTGATGCCACGTGTGCTATTGATATGTGGATGTCACGTGTGGTATTGATATGTGATTTCACGTGTGGTATTGACTTGTGGATGACACGTGTGGTATTGATATGTGGATGTCACGTTTGGTATTGATATGTGGATGTCACGTTTGGTATTGATATGTGGATATCACATGTGGTATTGGTACGTGGATGTCACGTGTGGTATTGATATGTGGATGTCACGTGTGGTATTGATATGTGGATGTCACGTGTGGTATTGATATGTGGATGTCAGGTGTGGTAATGGTGCTTGGATGTCAAGTGGTTGGGTTCAATGTTAAAAAATGTGGATGGGGTATACACTGACTTCAGGACAGCACACGTGAGCATAGCAGATCACGCGATTAAAAAACAAACTGTTAAGATTTGGTATGCGGATTATCAGTTTGTTACAGATTAAGATAAGTCGATACTTTGGTTAAGTTCGGGGTTAAAAAAGTTAAGATCTAGATAGGGGAGGTGGAAAAGTATGCCCACATTTAAGTAATGGGGATGGAACTGCAAGCCTTAACTTAGCGAGAGAGGTTAGGACAGTAGCTCCACGTTTAGCTAAAGAGGTTTGCACAGTAAGTTGTCATTAAGCTAGAATATATAAAACAGTAGCTCCACGTTTAGCTAAAGAGGGTTAAACAGGTAGCCCACATTTAGCTAGAACAGATCGAAAAGTAGCGCAATATTTAGCTAACGAGGATTTGCTTATAGGTCTCATATTGCTTGCATATTGATTTACCATGTCTTTTTTAATCAACATACCAGCGAGTATGTCGTAAAAGATAATTAGACCTCTGTATGATAGGCTGAAATTTAAAACGTATGTATGTATGTATTACAAGAGCTGAATTAAGTCGAAATACACCTGATGCATCTATAATTAGATTCACATCTATGCATAGTTTGGGGTAACAGATGTTCTCACGCTTTGAGTTGTGTCATGCTGGGTACTCATCATAGGCTGAGTGAGCATTGTGAGGCCGGTTGCGTCTGCTTACTGGATTGAACTATTGTTGCTATTTGTTACAATACCCAACACAACATCTGGTGTTGGGCTACATAGTTTACACGGGAAAACCTCTTATTCACAATCAACTTGCTAGCAAAATAAATCTACGCTAAAGCTAGAGTACTATACAAGTAAACAACAGGGTATAGCCAGCATTAGATCGTAGATATACTACAACTCATCTCACAAAATTATGAAATTACGTATATATATATATATATATATATATATATATATATATATATATATATATATATATAAGTTACCACTGCCGACAGCGCCAAATGTTCCACTGCCGACAGCGCCAAATGTTACCGAGTGTATTGACAACGCCAACTGTTACCGAGTCTATTTACTTGTAGTGTCAAATGTTACCGAATGTATTTACTCGTGCTATCTTTGACCAGCACACAACATCGACCACAATACAGATACTCGGAAGTACAGGTTTACATTGATCTCTTTATTACATGAATCAATAGAAATGCTCCACATAACAATGCATCAATGTTCCACAAGAATACAATGAACCAACTGACCCCCACTGTCCTCACTAGTCCTCACATATCAGAATGCACGTGTCCATCGTTCCTATCCTCACAAACCACAACACGTCCTCACATATCAGTCTTCAACTGGGTTCTGCCGTTCTCTACCAGTCGCCTTCCCATATATCCCTTGTATACGTAATACTTCCCATTCGTTGCATCAGACTATAAACTACGCAGCGGCTTTGTGTTCGTTAACAATCCACACCCTGTATCAGTTGCATCAGCCCAGTTTGGCCTTGATCGTGTCTTTAGTTGACAGACTGTATTGCGTTCTTATCGTCTCTAGTAACTACCCTAGTTACATCCACCCCCGCCTTTTTTTATGTCTTTTCAACCACAAACAACGCTTGGCAGGTGCACTCCTTCAATGTCAAACGCAACACCGTAAAAATTTTTTACTGTTCCACTCACTGTCAATGTCGTCACATTCGTATAAGATTGACAGTTATCCCTATTTCAACATATCAAATGTGTCTACATCATAATCCTCAGACACAAAGCAGTTCTAGAATTCACATCCACTCCCGCCTTTTTTCGTTTGGTGTCTTCACCAGTTCAGTTTTATAGCTTTTTAACAGTCTGTTCTCATCCCAGCGCGACCATGAAAGAATTGATGGTTGCTGACGAAAAATTTCGTATTCTTTCTGTTCCTCAAACTTCTCCGCGGACCACTTATCTGATGTTCTACTGTCTCTCTGCTTCTGGGAGGACCGGGATCCTCATTGTTGCAGTTATTCTCCACTTGTGTATCGCTGTTGTGTTGTTGATGGTGACATGGTTCCGGGATGGGTATGTGAATTTCCGTTGTAGTTTCCGGTTCCCTAATTGTCTTAGGTTTCTTTGTGTGTAAATGCTCTTCTTGACTATGCCAATACTTCTTTAATTGAGTAATATTCGCCCACCGATCCGGTTTGGTGTGATTGGTGGGTCTTATTTTAAAGGGGCCACCGGCTACTTTAGGCATCTCCACGACTTGCCATACCTCCTGTCCCCAGAAGTCGTGGATTTTGTTTCTGCCTAATGGGTGGCTACGCAGTAATACTTTGTCGTTTAGTTGGAGTGGCGGGTCTTTTTTCTGTACCCGCGGTTCTCTTCGCCGTGCTTCATGTTCTAGTCTTTCTTGTACCACCCTGTACATTTCTCTAATTCGTCTCATATGTTCATTCACATATTCCAGTGCGGTGTATGAGCCAGTCATGCTTTCCTTTTTTCCTAGGAACAAGTCAAGAGGGAGTCGAGCCTCCCGTCCGAACAGTAACATGTGTGGCGAAAAGCCGGTTGTGGCATGGGGGGTGCAGTTGTATAGGTATACCAACTCTGGGAGAAAATCAGGCCAACGTTTTTTCTGTTCAGGTTCTAGAGTACGCAGCAAATCATGCATGCTGCGGTTGAACCGCTCGCACTGTCCGTTTCCTTTAGGATTATATGTGGTTGTTCTAGATTTGTTGATCCCGTAGTGGCTGCACAGTTGGTTAATTACTTCTGACTCGAAGGCCCTTCCTTGGTCAGAGTGTAATTGTCTTGGTATGCCATATTTGATGAACTAGTGTTCTATTAAGACCTTTGCCACTGTTTTGGCCGTCTGATCTCGTGTGGGCACCGCGACAGTCCATTTGGTGAATACGTCAGTCATCACCAACACATGTTCCGTCCCATCCGATGATTGCTCCAACGACGTAAAGTCCATAGCCACAATCTCTAGGGGTTTTGTCGCCAGTAGGTGTCTTGATGGCTGTCTCATTTTGACAACTGGCATTTTTGCATGCTGAAACCTCACACACGCCTCACAATGGCGTTTGACCTCCATCTCCATATTGGTATTAGATCGTAGCAATTCAAGTTCATCTGTATAATTCTTCACTTCATTTTCTCTTTCTGTATTCACTGATTTAAGATTCTCAATAGAAATGTGCAAAACTTCTACTTCTTTTTCTTTATCTGCTATAAGACATGTATTATTTTCAACCTTGTTCATTAGTTCTAATACTTGCTTTTCTAACTGTTGATTCAATAGCCTTTCTTTTTCTATCATTTCTTCTAGTTTGCCAACACTGTTCTGTTGTCTAATATTTTTATTTTCTTCTTCAGATAACAGATACTCTAAAGATGAACATTTCTCCTGTGCTTTTAATTTGCATGAACTTTCCCTATCCAGTTT